ATATATGTATGCATCGGTACAAAATAAACATCTCGGAAATGTTCGATTTTCCAGCTGTTTTTTTGGGTTTTCCCTATTTTTCCACACCTAACACCCGCAAGAAAACAAAAAAAAAAGAAAGAAATATTCAAATAGGTCCAGTCGTTTTTGAGTTTAAGCGATCACCGAATGGCAATTGATTTTTATATATTATATAGATAATATTATAATTCTATTAAGTATACTAATACTATTATACCTATGTACTATTTTAATCGCAACAGTAAAAACAAAAATTGCATCTCCATATAAAATTATAGATGATTACAGAAGTGGTAAATAGATTGCATAATTAAAAATTATTTTAATTTGTCTATGTTTTACCTTGTAATTAAAATGACTGATAAAAACAAAAGATTAACATACAATAAACTAAGCCTTTTTTATGGTTGTGTTTGGTAATTAGGATTTGGGCAAGTACGTTCTGCTGTGGTTAATTAGCTCATTAGCTTTTTGTAAAGATGAGCAACCAAGCGAAACGGTAAAGCGTGTGTCACGGAGTACCTATTCTGTTTAAGTATTAACGAGATGTCGTAGTGACCCACATTCTATTAGAATTTTAAGAGGGTACTACCTATATAATATCGAATAAGTTAAATAAAAAAATCGATAATTTCATATAAGTGTAGGAAATAAAGGGGTTTGAACCTAAAAAGTATACTAGATGAAGAATTTGGTTAGTAATTATATATTATTGCTGTTGTTAACTGTTATGTACGAGTACATACATCACATATATTACTTAATAAAAAATTGATACAAAGTAGAAAAACCTTACTAATTATAAATTTTCAAACTAATTATTAACTACTTGTACCAGCTATTGTTTAGAATTAATTGTTACTGGTACAAAATTCTTTGGAAATTTTTTGCTTCTTATTTTAATGCAAACCCCTGTTTGTAATTATATCTGTCTACGTATAATTACACTCTACATATTTCGGGAGAGATTAAAAATGACTGTACCATGAAGTCTGTACTTTTTTCACCATGTAAATATCATATTTATTATTCGAATATAATACAATTCGAATTAAAGATCGTATTACTATAAATAGCTTAAAGTATTTCGATAGTGGGGATTTACATTAAAAAAAAAGAAATAACAGTTTATGTTATTAAGATTAAACGTCAATTATGTTTGTGATAAGTAGCTAATACTAGTATCATTTAAATCAAAAATATTTTTAATTCAATACAATCTATTTTTTTATCATAAAGGTTTTTGAACGTAGAATTCTATTTTCGAATTAAGATACATACATATAGGTACTGTTTCCAATTGTTTGTTTTGAAAAAGTTAAATAACATTCTGATTTATTAATAGCTAAATGCTAACTTTGCTCGTTTAAATATTAAAAAAAGATATTTTAAGTTCAATACCAATAATTAATAATTATTTAGTTTTTTTACTTATATACAAAGTACCAACTTTGAAAGTAGTGTTCTATTTTTGAATGAAGACATTAACCCCATTCAAATTATTTGAGCGGTTGTTTTTTAAAAAATGTTAAATATCAGCCTGCTTTAATAATAGGTAACTAAATGTCAAATATTTTTGTGAGAGTAATTTTAATGATAGATATTTATAGTTAAATGCGAAATATATTTAAGTTATTTTATAAACTACTTTATAAGTAGTATTTTATTTTTGATTGACGATATTTTCACGGATTCAAAATGTTTGTTTTGAAAAAGTTAAATATCATTCTGAATTATTAATAGCTAAATGTTAACTTTGCAAAAAGTCATGTTAATAATAGATGTTTTTAGTTCCATTCCTTTTTACTTATTACAAAGTACCAACTTTGAAAATAGTGTTCTATTTTTGAATAATGACATTTACAGCATTCAAATAATTTGTAAGGTTGTTTTTTGAAAAAGTTAAATATCAGTATACTTTATTATTAGTAAATATATTTCTGAAAAGTAGTTTTATTCATATATGTGTATTTTAATGATTAAAAACATATTTAATATTTACCAACTTGAAATTGCTTGTAAAGATTGTATTTTAAGTAAGATAAATATTTAATTAAAAGTATCTGATTACGTTATTAGATTTTGATTTTATAATCATATTTGTAGGCACAGTAGTAACAAATTTAAGGAATAAGTAAGCTGTTTAATTATATTCATCATTAAGGTAATTTTACTTAGTTTGATGCCAATTAAATAATTCTATCTTTTTAACTTTCCTTTTGTCACTTCTCTTCCTTCCTTTTATCACTCCTCTTTTCAATGCGAAAGAGTTTAGGCCATAGTTCACTACGCCGCGCCGACAACATTGTCCGATTTTTTTTAATACGAGTATGAATATACTAAACACCATGGATGAATGATTTTTTTGTCTTTTAATAAACGCGTTATTATTTGGTAAATGTAGGTATTATTATTTATGCTCTAAAGTTGCATTATTATATACCTATTGAGTGTTTTAATAGAAAATAATATATTTGATTAATTTGTAATGATTTATGTATAAGGCATTTACTTATTTGACCTTGGCCGATAGGAATGTGTTATAAAAAAATAAAAAAGGGCGCGAATATTCATTTGTTTTCCCGCGCTTTTGCACAGAGATGTCGGTACCACCCTGTAGTGACTAGTCACGAATTTTTTTAATACTAAAAATTATTGTTATAAATTATGTAACTTACTGGGGATTATAAAAGTACTGAATATAAGAATATAAGCAAGGAATATTTCGAAGTTTTATTAGGAATCCTACAATAGAATAGTCTGAAAATGCTGGATGAGTGCTCTTCAAAAGACCCCTCCAAAGAGTATAGTTATAAACTGGACCCCTCTCTTCGCATTAAAGTACCTCTTCGTGGCCTCCTTATTCCGAAAATTAGTTAATGTTTATTTTTCTTTGCCGTACTAGCATGATATTGAAAACTAGAGTCGCTACAGTGAGAGACCCAGGGCTTAAACCTGCTTAAGTCGTAAGTTGAGTAAGTTTCCAACATGACCGTTCTCCAAATTAATTACCGCTGTATTACCAATTGTATATTTATTTGCAATATAATAATTCAGAAGGCTGTCGTAGCCCAGTGGTAATAACCTTGCTTGGAAAACTAAGTTAACTAGTTTCAAATCCCGCGTCTAACACCTCTGATATTTTTATGTGATTTTCAAATTTATTACCACTTGTCTTACGGTGAAGGAAAACATTGTGAAGAAACCTGCATGTTAAAGAGGACCTAGTAAGTTTTCAGAGCACGTGAAGTCAGCCAAACTTACTTGGTCAGCGTGGTGAACTATGGCATGATCCCCGTCGTATTGAGGGAAGGCCCGTACTCAGCAGTGAGATGTTAAAAAGGGCTGAATACGAATAAAACTCTTATTAGAAGATCATTGATATTTTTCGAAGGAAACGAAGACGGTATTTTACAGTCTTTTAATTTTATGAGTCAATCAATAAAAATCGGTTTCACAGACCCGGACTAAAATACGTTGGAATTTCTCTAGTCAAAACAAATCAAATAAACGAACGAATGTTTATAAGTAGCTTTTGACAAGTCCCATTACACCTCGGCGCTATTCATACGTATAGTAAGTGAAAACAGCTCGATGTTACTAAATTATTGTTTGTACTATCAACTATAAGTAGGTTGAAATTGATATACGAGTAATAGATTCGACTTCATACTTGTTATTTGTTTATCTGATTTTAAAAAAAATGGTATTTGTCATATTGAAATGAAATTTAATTATAAGACCACCTCGCACTATACCTTAACAGAATTCAATCTTGCGATATTGGCCCGAAATTGAAATTTCGCCTTCTTCTGTGCTTTTTTTGAAAATTTGCTTTATAAATGGTCAAATTTTATTACGTTTATAAAATGTTATATAAATAATAGAGAAGATTCATAAAGATTTTTCAATGCAAATTATTTTAACACAGTTCTTATTTCAGCAAGTAAGTTTCTGTTTTTATTAAATTAAGTACAATAATTTACATTACGCAGCTTTTAATGCAAACAGAAGTGTAAAGTTTTTTGTAATACCTATTATATTCGAATTTAAGTTTCTTATGTAAATTTTTATGTTGCAATAATTCTTTAAGCCAATATTCATATAATATTAAAGATTTATGAAGTTTTTAATTTACAAAAATTAAATACCATTTACCAGTAAAATCATATTTTATTTTGAACGATTTTTTTCAACTTATGTCTTGTTATTTTATATAATGGTAATTTATGGGATATTATTTCTTGGGAAGTAAATTCTCCTTTTTCCAAGGATGAAACTCTACGTTCTCAAGTAGGAACTTTACCTATTTTGAAAGACAATTTTTCTTTCCAGCTGTCAGTTTGTTTCGTTTATGATAATAATAATTTTCTAAGCATTCTTGGAAAGTTAATAAAACTGGTAAGGTAACATAAAGATTTTTTACTCTTAATCAAACGTTAACTTTTTTCTTTATTTCATGATTGAAGAAAAGATATGGATAAAGTTTTTCTGTGTGATTTTAAGCAAAATAAGATCTGTATAAAAATATACATACGCTTAATCTAATAAAATATTAATATATATATATATGACATATATATATATATATATATATATATATATATATATATGAAAATTCACCAATTAATTATTAACTCCTTAGCCAAGCAAGTGGAAATCAAAGGCGTGTGTTTCTATAAAATTTACAATATAATATTTTTTTACAGTTACAGTACAGATAATGCAAATATGCCGGCTTATAAGCATTCTTTAGTAATTTTTTTTTAAAGAGTATGAATTCTTTCATTATAGAAAATGAACATTAAGCTTAATATATGTACATGGTTTTATTCGATATTTTGGTTTATTGATTATTTCGGACGATTATTTCAGTATTTTTGCCCTCATTGTTTACTTTTTGTAATAAGAGAACTCTTGAAAGAGCATGTTTAAGTGTATATTTTTTAATTTATGTATTCATTATATTTAGTACCCACCTGTGAACGTCTTCAAGTTGATTATAATTACTTCCTTGAAATATGATTAGAAATAGTGTTTTATATTAATATTCACGGGGGGTTTGTTTTATTTAAATTTGACGAAAGTAGAACTAACACTGCTTTTGTAAACTAACAAAGAATATTCACAGCATGTTAAAGAGAATCGCTACAAAGGGAAATGAGGTGTGTCCTCAATACTTCCATTTAAACGAATTGTTAGAACAAAAAGATTAGGAGACAAAACGTCGCGTTCGCGATCGCATCGGGCTCGGAGTTTGGCTAATAGACGCGTGTTGCGCACGCGCCGACTCTCTTGATACTGCTTGCTATTTACCCGCCAAAAACGTGTGGAGATAGTATCCGTAGGCGAATCAAATTCATTCAAGATTACGATATTATACAATGCATTGTAGATGCAGCTTATTATAAATTAATCTATAAAACCTGTTTGTGACGGAAGTAGCTAATAGCTTTATAAGCTTTTAAAGTATAAGCTTTTAGGTGAATCCCTGTACGTAACTATATATATTTTTTGAATACATTTGAAATTTTCTTTGTTCTAATATTTCTTCATTAAATTATTCAAATATTAAAATTATTTAAGCCTGTCCTTATTATTATATAAATTTTTATTACGCGTATATTATATTGCCAGTTAATGCATATTGATGATAATAATAACATTCGCTCACCCTCCAGATCAGATCTTCATCGCAACATCTTTAACTAACTTTTTGCAATAGCTTAATATCTCATTTGGACGAATCGATGTACCAGGATAAAAAGTAGGTAATTTTGCGCCCATAAAGTATACCTATATGTAAAAAGCATAGCTTGACGACACGTTTGGCTCAGTGTGTAGTGACTCTACTTGCTGTGCCAGCGGTCGCGGGTTCGAATCCCGCTGGGGGCATTCATTGTGTGATGAGCTCGAATGTTTGTACTCCAGCATGGGTGTTTATATCTATAATAGGTATGTATTTAAAGTTCATATATGTGTAGTTTATCAACTATCTGGTATCTATAACACAAGCCTAGTAGCTTACCATGGAACTAGACGGTGTTGTGTGTTATGTCCCAACATATTTATTATTATTATTATACAGCTGCTCGATTGCAAGGCACAACAAATGAAAGGTTATATTTTTGTATTTTTATTTTTAATTGTATTCTAATCTGTATAATAATTAAGTAAAGTCTTTATTCTAGTGGGGACTAGTAAGTTGGGTTCGATTTCCAGGTAATCCCAAAAGAGCTAAGGCTTTCCGTCAGTGAAATTGACAATTGGAGCTTGAAGTAAGGAAGTTTGTGCCGTAACCTTTACTTATTATATATAACATTTAGTTCTGAGATCTCATTAATCACCAGCATGACTTCCATTGAAATATGAGTATGAGGATAAAACTTGACTTGTGCTTGCACACAAACTTATGCATTACAATTTCTCCGCGGTAATACTCAGTTATCACTAATTAGTTAGGATATTATTAATAAGGAAATAAGAGTAATGTTTTAATAGTATAAAATTCATAGATGCAAGATAACAGTGTGTACCCATTTTTAAGTATATTAGCTTACGAAGGAGTATGAGTTTTGACATAGGTACTTAAGGTACTTAAACAGTACAGACGCCCCATCCCATACAACGAAATTGGATAGAACTAATTCGAAATGGTTTATTTTATAAATATATGTAGACTAAAATATAATAAATATTGCGAAATTCACCCTATTTTTAATTAAACAATTTTGACATGACAATATATTTTATGTAATGACCTATAATTTTATACTAATACATAAAGATAAAGAGTTTGTTTGTTTGTCTGATCGTGCTAATATGGAACGTGCTAGATACAGGTCCAATTTAAAAAAAAACTTTTTATGGTCTATTAACTGAGTAAGGCTTGAGGATATCAATGGACCTAGTAACATTGGCAAATTAAAATTTTTTAATGAAACTTACACATACTTAAACTATTTTTTTTTATTTTTATTTTATTATTAATTACTTGATGTACATGTAAAAAAAATGTAATAAATGTTTTATTTCTGTCTATTTAAAAGAATTATGTACAATTTTAAAAGAAATCTTCAAGATATCATTTAGTGTTACATTTCATTCATTTATTTTTTTAATATTATTGTCATTTAAGTAGAGTGTATGTATTACCTAATTATAAAATGTTGTGCATGCCTGTAATTTAGAGTTATATACAAAAAAGGAATTTATTAACGTTATTTTAGTGATTAAGTTTGTGTATGTACTCTAGTTGGTAAGCCTTATTTAATAATAATAAAAAAATATAAAATTATATTATGTATAATATTAACTAATCCGCTAACTAAAGTCGCCATCTTTGTAGTAAAATATGTAACCACGCTTAATTGAAGCCATACATAACATATTGTGAGTTAAGCAGTCACTAAACAGTTTTTATAGGCTTAAGTAGATGGCGTTGATTTTATTTTATTCATGACTGTTTCTTAGTTTATTTATTGGTAAACATTTACAAGAATCAGCAATCTATTTTATAGCTTTAGGACATAAATGTTAATATTTGCCAAAAAAATAATATTAAAAATATTCTACTAATATTAATTTTATTCCTAAGAATAAAATTAATATTAATAGAATATATAAGATTTAAGTTTTATAAAACTTAAATCTTTTTGTTAAAATTAATGACCACCTAAATATTTCCCATAGGCCTTTGTTCTTCTCATGACTTTGATTTCAATGCGTGTGTACTAGTGGCCGCCCTGGCTTCGCTCGGGTACAAAGCTACTATATAAAAACTTGTATAAACATACTGTTGAAATATCAATTTTATATTTAATAAAAATCTTCTCTTTATAATCTCTTTACAGTTATTAGATCTGATGTTGCAGTAATTTGTTTTCGTCTCATACACATTGAACATTGTAAGGTTGCGATAAATTGTTTTTTTTTATTATATAATTTTACTCTTATGTATTCAAGTTCAAGTCAGTTCAAGTTTGTTAATGGCGTGAAGACGTGCCAGATGAACACAGATTATTTCGCCAATGACACAGAATGGAGAAGACACGAAGGAAGGAGTTTGGTCGGTAAAATAAGATAATTAATTAATTAAAGTAGAAAAAAATTATAAAATGTAAAAAAGGGGGAATCCTTTGTGATTTTGGTCCTACATCAAAATACAGTACAATTACATACATATTATATTAATACTTTATTTAAAAAAAAGTTGTTAGCAAATTGTACTCTATTTCTATTACACTTAATATACATACATATTTACACAGAGAACTAAACGCAGTGGCCATTAATGGGACGGGACACTTTTAGGGGATACATATATATGGGTGAGGAGTCTAGTGCCCGATTTCACCAACAACCCATAAGCTACTACCTACGTATGGGATCCCTAGCTTAAAATTCCCCTAAACTAGCCTCTAAATTAAATTTCGTTTTACCATCATCTTTAAGCCCATATTTCGAGCACCTAAATTTAGGGGGCCTTTTAACATTTAGGTGACCCCTAACTGTCGGTGAAACAGAAACTGTCCCCTAACAACCCCCTAACCATACTTAAGGGATCCCTTAAACTTAGGTGACGTTTGTGAAATCGGGCATATGACAGCTAAAAATAATATGGGAAGGAGAACCTTCGTCAAGACCACTCACACAAGTAATGATCCCTGACACTGATCCTCCATTATATGCTTATTTATTTGAAATCAAAAATAATAGATTTATATATCTACATATACTTAAATTATTTTCTGGTTATATCTGTTTTGATACTCAGAATTTCCTAATATTACCTATGTCTCACTAGCAACTCACCCTCGCTTTGCTTCGGGTTCGTCCTTAAGCAAAAAAAAATCTATTCCTCGGGAACCGTACATTTTCCCGAGATGATAAATAAACCTTCCTCAATAAACGGGCTATGCAAGAAGATTTTTCAAATCGGATTATTAGTTCCTGAGATTAGTGCGTTCAAACAAACAAACTCTAAAAACTTTATAATATTAGTATATTATATTTAAATGAAACAATAACGTATTTAAATTTGTATGAGCCAATGTTCTTTTGTTCAGCTAAATAATTTTAAAGTATAATTATTGCTTAAATAAATAATTTTAAAAACAACAAGTGTGTAATAAAACTATCTTTTCAGATTTTTTCACGACTTTATTTAGGTTTTTGGTTCCCAATTTTTTGAATACTTTACAACAGTAATATTTACGGGAGAGACTGAGGTTTTATTAGTCTCAAAAATTATATAGTTGTTAAAGATGGTATCCCACAATATCATTCAGTAATTTGGAAGGAGAGGAAGAAAAAATATGGTAAAGTGTACCGAAGTACTTTATAATACTTGTTAATATTAATTTTAGACATTTTAATAATTTAAATAATTTATATAATTGAATATTAAATATTATTTAATTTTGCTTACTATTATTATAATTCTGACAATACAAAATTATTATTTATATACGATATTATTAAAGAAAGTCAAATATTCTTAGTCTAAGAATATATTAATATTTTGAGTATTAAAGAAAAATTATTATGTATTTACGTTGTATTTGATAGCTTAAAATATCGGGTAGCTAATATGGCAGTGTTTATTTTCTTATAACTATTGCAGGTAATTAAAGCTTACGTATAACAATTTATCTTATAAATTATAAAGAATGTTCGTTTTTCATTAAAATTTCTATAATAGCACTTTCAAAACTATTCAAATTCCTTTCATTTAAAAATTATAATACTTCATTTACTATATTCAATACGGTTGCCTTTATTCTAACGCCTTCTTGATTCTACTGGATAATAAAGCCATTTAAATTCATATCCTTTAAGACCATATTTTTCATCTCTTTCTGTCTCAGGCTTGGGAACTTCATCGGATAGTATATCTAAAACTTCCTGTGTTATTCTTGGACGAAACCCATTTTCGTCTGCTACATAATCAACCCTAGTTCTTATACCATTTCTGCCAGTTACGAAGTAATATCCGATTTTTGCACCACTAGAATAGCCTTCTTCATGATGACCATGAAATCCAACAGTATAGTTAAAAGTATACAAAAGTTGAGTCATATCATTTTTGTTTAAACCTTTTGGGAGACCATCCTTTTCACCAGGTTTCTTATGGTAAATATCTGTGTTCTTATCTACTAATTCCATTTGAGCTGCAATCAGAATTGGTTTTTCAGGACCGGCCTCATTGGTATTCGAAAATTGATCTGGATTTGCAGATTGTAAAACGTCATTAAAGCTCTTTGGATGCCGATATCCATCTATATTGCTTTGTGGTTGTTGGGCAATTTGCTCTCCATTATTGTAGTTTGGTAAGTTAGCATTCTTTTGATTATTCAAAGAATTAGTTAGGCCCGAATTGGGATTTTGTAAATTATTTGTTGGAATACCAGGAGCCTTTTTATTATTTGGAACATTATATTCTTGTGGATAAGTTTGTCCGTTTTGGGAATTTTGTACATTGCTATTTCCTACGGAAAAAGTTTGACCTGGGCTTAAATTTTGTGTATTTTCTTGCTTTGGATTTAAATTTTGTACGTAGCTTTGATCTTCACCAGTATTTTGGAAATAAGTGTGTTGATATTGTTGTTCTTCATTTGATGTCTTTGCCCTGTTTACTTGATTGAATTGTTCATTACCCCTTACTGAATATTGGTTTTCGTAAATTGGTTGATTTGCTTCACTTTTATCGGGATTCGAATGTGCCTGCTGAGTATATACCGATCCTAAAGAAGGATAGTTTTGTCTTGGTTGTTGGGAACTAAATAGATTTTTACCATATGGGTTACTTATACCGAGTTCAGATTGTGCATAGTTATTTTGTGAAAGTTGTTCATTTTCTGTTTTAGTCACAAATTTTGGAACAGCTGTCGTAGTAGTTGGTACACTACAATGAGAGCAAGATCTTGCAGGTCCATCATTCTCAGGTTTAATGTGTGGTATTTCATTAAGAGAAGGTTTGGATGAAGCTTCTTGGGACACCGATAATGGTATAGAATGACCTTGCCTCGCACCAGCTGAAGGAACTGCATGTTCTGTTGAACCTTGTTTATTAAAAGATTGACTTTGCTTATAAGGAGTCACTGATCCTTGATTTGCACTAGTTCCAGGAGCTGTAGGATCTACAAAGAAAAGGAATAATGTGTTATACTTTGCTTAAATCAATTAATCAATAAAATTTTTAAAGAAGAGATTACAAGAAGAAATAATAACGACACTTTTTATTTCTCTCTTTTTTTTATTGGCTTACAGTTGCTTTAAAAGACGCAATACATTCAGCCATTATCATTTTAATTGGGTGGGATTAAAATTAATTTCTCTTACATGGCTTGACTCGTATGTTTTTCATAGATATTATTTTAAAATTTCCATTTTCATCTGTGGCATATACTGTGACATGATAAACGCCATCGGCTGTAATGAATCCGAACTCCCCTATAATTATTCCATTTTCATCTGAAAAATAATAAGAAAATATTTTATATAATTTTATTATAATATTTGCTGCTATACGTTGATTTTAAATTATTAATTTCTATTATTAGTAAATAATCGTTTTTGCCTAAAATAATCTGGCAATTATTTATTTTTAAACTTTTTCCTTATAAAACATGTTATTCTTGTTATGAGTATTTTATTGATTGTATATGGCCTCAGCCATCAACTCTGAAAATATATGTAATAACTCTTCAATCACGTTGTAAATTGTTTTTTTAACTTTACGCCTTTTTAAGCACATACTGGGCTTCGAAATATTGCACCCACAAATTGTGGTCTCATTTTTATTTTCATTGTCACATACAAATATATATTAGTTAACATTAACACGACTAAATACGAGCACATTGTTTCATGTTTTAGTCAAAAAGCAAATCCTCTTTTAATTTATAATGTTTGTAATTTAAATATTCAATTTACAGCATTACTAATAATAATAATAAATTATAATTTGATGATCTTATACAATATAAGTGAACAATTTGTGTTAAACTTCCACAAAAATGTTTAAAAAAATTATTATTAATCGACTTCACTTTATGAATTACTACTCACTAAACTCTTTTAAAATGACTTAGTAAATAAAAATTAAATAAAACTATCTTTTCGGATTTTGTCGCGGATTTATTTGGATTTTTGTTTCCCGACGTTTCGAATGCTTTACAGCATCCATGGTCACGGGAGAGACTGAGGTGTTACATGTCTTGAATGTATAGTTGTTACAGACAGCCTACCCACAATTAACAAAATGAAAATTGCACCAATTACATTACAATATTTTTTAACTTTAAACATTTTTATAATTTTAATTATAATTGAATATGGAAAATTATTTATTTAATTTTGCTATTATTTTTATAATTATTACAATTTTAAAATATTAATTAGTAATCTATATTTAGTGTTGCCATTATTATATTTATAACCATAAAGAAAAATATAAAATGTAGTATTAATTATTAAAGCCATATAATTGTTCTATGTGTAATTTAAAAAGTTAAAATTAATTAAGGATAATAATTTTAATTTAGTTTGCTATTATTTAAAAACAACTTACTAAGCAAACACTATTAATATATACTTTTACAAATGAAAAATGAAAAATATTAGTCTGATAAGCTGTCATTTTGATCTACACAGTATGAACTTACTACATCTGCCTGTCTGTTATGTTTATATTTATTATTTGATTTTATTATATTAATAACAGGATCCCATGACGATGGTAGTACCCAGCCATCTTCCCTATTGAAATTAGGATGTTTTTTAATTTCTATGGCTTCTCGAATCATTCTAGGGCGATATCGGTTTTCTTTCGCCAGGATTTGAGGTCTATCGAAGCGAATATAATGGCTTGGGCGGTCCTGACTATGTTTGCAGACAGCAGATGTTGTATTGCGACGGTGCTTCACATCAGCTATGTGTTCTTTGACCCGGGTTCTAATGGATCTCTTTGTTTGTCCGATGTAAGAGAGCCCACAATCACAATCAAGCTTGTAAACTCCTGCATCTTGTAGAGGGATGTGGCACTTGACAGGTGGTAGAAACTGACTAATTTTCTTTGGCGGCTTGAAGTAAGTTTTAATTGAAGCTCGCTTTAGAATGTAGCCAATCTTGTCAGTGACGCCTCTCATGTAAGGTAGGACTGCAGGGACGCGCTCGACTGTGGCTGGTTTCACTCGGTCCCTGTGACGTAGGCGCGGCACTTGCAGCTTGTTGTCTCGCAGAACTTGCTTGACATGTTGCAGCTCTCCGGCCAGGTGTTGCTCGTCACAGATCCCGCGTGCCCTCTGAAACAAAGATTTTCCCACGGTAGCTAACTGTGAAGGGTGGTGGTGAGATTCACCATTCAAGTACCTATCAGTATGGGTCTTCTTTCGATACACAGTATGACTTAAGGTGTTATCTGGGTTACGTATAACTAATACATCTAAGAAAGCTAAAGAATTATTAGACTCCAATTCCATTGTAAATTGTATTTTAGGGTTTATGGAGTTAAGATGTTCTAAGAATACAGATATTTTATCAGATGGTAATATTGTGAAAGTGTCATCTACATACCGCTTGTAGAAACGAGGGGTCACAGGTGATGTGTTTAGTGCGGTCTCCTCGAAGGCCTCCATGAAGATGTCAGCTACAACGGGAGAGACCGGCGAACCCATGGCCACTCCATCCACTTGCTTGTAGAATTCATCATTCCACAATAGATAGCCAGATGTAAGGCAGTGTTTCAAAAGTTCAGTGTATTCTTCTTGCATACTATTATCCCGTAGCTTTCTTGATACTATTTTGACACAGTCCTCTACTGGTAGGCTTGTGAATAGAGACTGTACATCAAAACTGACCATAGTTTCATTGTCCATGAGTTGTAGGTGTTTTATCTCATTGACAAAATGGTACGAGTCCCTTGTGAACGCTGATGTTTGTCCTCTGAGTGTTGAGAGTACTTTCGCTACTAGTTGGGCCAATTTATAAGTCGGTGTGTCGATTTGACTCACAATTGGACGTAGCGGAGCGTTAGGTTTGTGTATCTTTGGAAGTCCATACAGTTTAGGCGGCTTTGCACAAGGTGGAACAAGATTTTTGACATCAAGATTCAATGCATCGGAGTGTTTCTTAATCAGCTTTTTAGTATTATTTAACACAGTGGTGGTTGGGTCTGTTTTGACCTTTTTATATGTACTTTCATCCGACAAAAGTTGTTTAATTTTCTCATTGTAATCTGATGTATCCATCACGACGGTGGCATTTCCCTTGTCTGCGCGTAGTATGATAATGTCTGACCTGCTGCGTAAGTTCTTCAACGCTAAATACTGTTGTTTGTTGAGATTAGGTTTGGGCCTTGAACTACGACGTAACAAAGATGAAACATCTTGACGTATGGCCTCCATATCCTCAGATTTCATAGTATTTTTGGCCAGGGCATCTTCAACCGCACAAATAATGTTCTCATAAGGGATGCGTGTCGGCGCAACAGCAAAATTTAAGCCTTTACTTAGTACTTGAATAGTAGATTCGTCCAATGTTTGTTTTGACAGATTGACAACTGCTTGACGTACGCACGAATTTGAAACTGTGGTAGACGGGCGCGTTCCGTTATTGTTTTTGGTTTTCTTTTTGATGTTATACACAATAACGGAACGCGCCCGTCTACCACAGTTTCAAATTCGTGCGTACGTCAAGCAGTTGTCAATCTGTCAAAACAAACATTGGACGAATCTACTATTCAAGTACTAAGTAAAGGCTTAAATTTTGCTGTTGCGCCGACACGCATCCCTTATGAGAACATTATTTGTGCGGTTGAAGATGCCCTGGCCAAAAATACTATGAAATCTGAGGATATGGAGGCCATACGTCAAGATGTTTCATCTTTGTTACGTCGTAGTTCAAGGCCCAAACCTAATCTCAACAAACAACAGTATTTAGCGTTGAAGAACTTACGCAGCAGGTCAGACATTATCATACTACGCGCAGACAAGGGAAATGCCACCGTCGTGATGGATACATCAGATTACAATGAGAAAATTAAACAACTTTTGTCGGATGAAAGTACATATAAAAAGGTCAAAACAGACCCAACCACCACTGTGTTAAATAATACTAAAAAGCTGATTAAGAAACACTCCGATGCATTGAATCTTGATGTCAAAAATCTTGTTCCACCTTGTGCAAAGCCGCCTAAACTGTATGGACTTCCAAAGATACACAAACCTAACGCTCCGCTACGTCCAATTGTGAGTCAAATCGACACACCGACTTATAAATTGGCCCAACTAGTAGCGAAAGTACTCTCAACACTCAGAGGACAAACATCAGCGTTCACAAGGGACTCGTACCATTTTGTCAATGAGATAAAACACCTACAACTCATGGACAATGAAACTATGGTCAGTTTTGATGTACAGTCTCTATTCACAAGCCTACCAGTAGAGGACTGTGTCAAAATAGTATCAAGAAAGCTACGGGATAATAGTATGCAAGAAGAATACACTGAACTTTTGAAACACTGCCTTACATCTGGCTATCTATTGTGGAATGATGAATTCTACAAGCAAGTGGATGGAGTGGCCATGGGTTCGCCGGTCTCTCCCGTTGTAGCTGACATCTTCATGGAGGCCTTCGAGGAGACCGCACTAAACACATCACCTGTGACCCCTCGTTTCTACAAGCGGTATGTAGATGACACTTTCACAATATTACCATCTGATAAAATATCTGTATTCTTAGAACATCTTAACTCCATAAACCCTAAAATACAATTTACAATGGAATTGGAGTCTAATAATTCTTTAGCTTTCTTAGATGTATTAGTTATACGTAACCCAGATAACACCTTAAGTCATACTGTGTATCGAAAGAAGACCCATACTGATAGGTACTTGAATGGTGAATCTCACCACCACCCTTCACAGTTAGCTACCGTGGGAAAATCTTTGTTTCAGAGGGCACGCGGGATCTGTGACGAGCAACACCTGGCCGGAGAGCTGCAACATGTCAAGCAAGTTCTGCGAGACAACAAGCTGCAAGTGCCGCGCCTACGTCACAGGGACCGAGTGAAACCAGCCACAGTCGAGCGCGTCCCTGCAGTCCTACCTTACATGAGAGGCGTCACTGACAAGATTGGCTACATTCTAAAGCGAGCTTCAATTAAAACTTACTTCAAGCCGCCAAAGAAAATTAGTCAGTTTCTACCACCTGTCAAGTGCCACATCCCTCTACAAGATGCAGGAGTTTACAAGCTTGATTGTGATTGTGGGCTCTCTTACATCGGACAAACAAAGAGATCCATTAGAACCCGGGTCAAAGAACACATAGCTGATGTGAAGCACCGTCGCAATACAACATCTGCTGTCTGCAAACATAGTCAGGACCGCCCAAGCCATTATATTCGCTTCGATAGACCTCAAATCCTGGCGAAAGAAAACCGATATCGCCCTAGAATGATTCGAGAAGCCATAGAAATTAAAAAACATCCTAATTTCAATAGGGAAGATGGCTGGGTACTACCATCGTCATGGGATCCTGTTATTAATATAATAAAATCAAATAATAAATATAAACATAACAGACAGGCAGATGTAGTAAGTTCATACTGTGTAGATCAAAATGACAGCTTATCAGACTAATATTTTTCATTTTTCATTTGTAAAAGTATATATTAATAGTGTTGCTTAGTAAGTTGTTTTTAAATAATAGCAAACTAAATTAAAATTATTATCCTTAATTAATTTTAACTTTTTAAATTACACATAGAACAATTATATGGCTTTAATAATTAATACTACATTTTATATTTTTCTTTATGGTTATAAATATAATAATGGCAACACTAAATATAGATTACTAATTAATATTTTAAAATTGTAATAATTATAAAAATAATAGCAAAATTAAATAAATAATTTTCCATATTCAATTATAATTAAAATTATAAAAATGTTTAAAGTTAAAAAATATTGTAATGTAATTGGTGCAATTTTCATTTTGTTAATTGTGGGTAGGCTGTCTGTAACAACTATACATTCAAGACATGTAACACCTCAGTCTCTCCCGTGACCATGGATGCTGTAAAGCATTCGAAACGTCGGGAAACAAAAATCCAAATAAATCCGCGACAAAATCCGAAAAGATAGTTTTATTTAAAATGTCAAATATTCGCGTAAATCTAAGAAAGTATTAAATAAAAATTAATTATGTTAAGTTTTTTTTTAAATGTATATTATTTCAAATAATATTTATAGCTTAAAACATTAGTAGCACAGAACATAAAATTATGAAAAATTATTAATCAAAATTAAAAAAAATAATTATCGGTTTTATTATTTAAACGTTACCCTTCTTCTCGTGTCTATGTTGCTCTCCTTCAATTGTAAAGCCAAATTCGTAAGGTCTATTTTCATCTGTGTATTTGTCAGCACCGTGTGCTTGAAAATAGCAGCTTATTACGTACAAAAAAATAAAGATTATTTTTAAAGTACTCATCTGAAAAAAAAAAGTTATTTTTACTTGTCAATCCGTTCTATTTTTACGTTTTCTTTCAAAAAGATAACCTACGTTAAACTTAGGTATATGGTACATCTTGCATGCCGTAATTTATAATTAGTCTGGCATAAGTGATTTATGAGTTGTCCAGTACAAAATAGACATCTCAATTTACTACAATTCGCGAGATTGTCAGTTTTTTTTGCATTAAAAACTGCAGTCGAAATTGTTCTGGTAGACAAAATAATGTTGACTAAGTTGAAATCGCGAAATCTTATAACTGAAAGGAAAAAAGTATTAACTTTTGTCTGACCTGTGTTTTTACGTTATCGTAAAAACACAGGTTTACAAGATAAACGCAAAAAAAACGACATTTGCGTCGTTTTACCTTGACTAATTATTTTAGCAGACATGGAATTGGTAGAGATTTTTGATATCTATACATATAATAAAATTCTAACTAAGCCGAATCTGTACATGACATATTTTTTGGAAAATCTTATTGAAATAGACATTATTATCGATACAGAGGCCGAAAGTATTTTTAGAATTTTTGTCTGTCTGTCTGTTTGTCTGTCTGTTACCGCATCACCGGAAATGCACTGAAGGGATTTTGATGAAATTTGGTATGGTGATAGCTGGCTATCCAGGTCAATATATAGGATACTTTTTACTGCGGTAAAATATCTCATTTCTAAGAAAAAATACAAAAACTGCAATGTAAGAGTACACTAATATGTAAAATCTAAGAGTTTGGTTTTTGATCATATGAACGCGGGCGGAGCTGCGGGCAATGCTAGTTTCATTTATAAATTATAATAGAACACCAAAGACGTATGCCAATTGTTAACTTGATGCGAGATATCGTCAATTTATTACTAATTTTTAGTTTATTTGAATAAAAGAATATATGTCATAATTAAAACATTAGTCATTTTCTTTTCAAGATACGATACAACAACGACTCGTTTGGCTCAGTTTGTAGTGACCCTACTTTCTGTGCTAGCGGTCGCGGGTTCAAGTCCCGCTGGGGGCATTCATTTGTGTGACGAGCACGAATATTTGTAATTTATAATATGTATGTATTTAAAGTTACATATGTGTAGTGTATCAACTATCTGGTACCCATAACACAAGCCTCATAGCTTACTAGATGGTGCTGTGTGTTTAGGTAAAAAAAAACAAAGGTTTAAATTCACGTAATCAGTTGAGACGGAACGTTACCTCGACAAGCGACGCACGTCATCATACCTTATTAGCGTGTAGTCTAAGTGAGTATAGAGCGAAGCGTATTTGGTATATTTCGTTCAATTATTTCTTTAAAATATATGCTTAGTGAATGGAAGAAGTGATAATTTACTGAAAATTGATATTTGATAAATAAGAAAAGTATTCGGGTCCGATGACCTACCTCACAGGATTGAGCGGCCGGTAATTTTAAAATGCAACATCTTTTTCAATTTTTAGCAAAATTTTATATAGAAATGGGTGGATATTTTAAATAAAACATAGTAATTTTTCATTTGCTATGAACGTTACTTTCGATTTTAAATAACTTACTCAGTTTGACAGAAATGCCATATTTACATAGTCGTTATATAATATACGTAGGTATATTTATTCCATAGAAAAGCTGTTCATATATAAATAAATAATCATAATTCAAATAATATTTGCAAATTACTATTAGAAAATTGATTCGCCTCAAGCGTTATAGATATACATACAAATGTATGTTTAAAAATTACCTAGTTTTTTCATTAAAACGTTATAAATACTTTAGTTATGCAATATATGCCGTCTAATTCCCTCATATAAAATAATAATAAAAATTTGCGATCTCATAAAATACTTTCACCATTATTGACAACCGCGAGGCTCCAATTAGACATCTATATTCTACGCTGATCTAAGTAAAACGGGTGTTATACACAGACAAACGGACAGATGCACAGACAGGCAGACAGACTTACTGTAATTATAAAAGCTCTATGATAGCTTTATAGCTACTTTCTAGTGATTACTGGCCCTTAAAATTATTCTCTACCTAAATAAAGAAATAAACAATTTTACTCCGATTATTGGACAATAAGACGATAAGACGGTAGTAGCCCAGTGGTTGGAAAATCGAGTGAAGCGGGTTCAAATCCCATCCCTGGACTCCCACCTCTGCTATTTTCATGTGCGAATCATTTTGACATGATTGATTACCACTGTCTTACGGTGAAGGAAAACATCGTGAGGAGACCTGCATGTCTAAGAGAAGCTAGCAAGTTTTCGAAAGACATGTAAAGTTCGCCAACCCACACTTGGCCAGCGTGGCGGACTAGGTCCTGATCCCCCTCGTAGGGAGGCCCGTGCCCAGCGGTGGGACGTTAAAGAGGGCTGAAGACATACATACTCTTATATAAAATATTTTTATATGTATTACTTATCGTTGTATTACGAAGTTTAAATAAACGAAAAAAATATTCTCCAGTCGTTTCCTCAAAATCAATAGTAATCGTTGATATTTGTAAAGTAGAAAAAAGACATTCCATTCATATATAAGAAATATGATCAGGTGCTAATATGATTCATATTCATAAAACTTGAATAAATTTAAAATAGCGTAGTTAATGTGAATTGGTCGTGAAGATTTCAAATATAAAATTGGATAATTGCGAAGATTTATAAATGATGATGAATGGGTTCTGTATATTAATTGTTCTCTAACCTGAGTAGTGTCAGAGACAAGGGAGTTTCGAAAAATGGGGTACTTTGTAACGTCTTATTATTTAAGTAATTTTGCAAAGCTTAAACAATAAAAAGAACGTACCTACTATAAAAAACTGATATTATTTCTTTAGTAAAATCTAAATTTATTTATGCACGCTAGTAATTTTTCAATGTTGTTGTTACATCATAACTGCAGAATATAGATATATCTTTTAAGTTTAACCTTTTCTGTTTATAATTATGGAAAAAGACTGTGACAGAGACACACTTCAGGGATAATATAAAGATTTCCTGTCTCCATTGAGTATACGGTACCCTAAAAATAATATTAAATGGATTTAACGTTTACATAATGCTATATAACTAATAGTTTGTCGATAACCGGATATTTGAATAGAATAGTACAAGGCTTGGTTTTTTTTTAAAAGTGATAAATTCACATATACATTCGGGTTGTATTGAAAATTTTATTTAATGAACATTTATATATGTATATAGGTATCATCCAAAATGTTAGAGTAAAAATATAGCTGGACTATATACATAATTATAGATACAATATTTATAAAGTTACTGAATAAACGGTTGTATATGTTTAAGAAACCCTACACGACACACAACTCTACAAACCACCAATATATAAACAACATAAATATATTATATTATATATAGAATGTAATTGCAACTATTCAATTTGCAACGGTTAGTCGCCTGTCCTTCGAGAATCGCAACGTATTGCGCCTGTCTGCGTTAATTCATCGTAAGCTTGCATTCTTAGCGACAAAAGATTTTTTTGGAAAAGCCTTCACGAGTTTTTGCTGGTACCATTTTAATGTAGTTTTTGTATAATATAATTAATGGCTTCAAAAGTAAGAGTTATATTTTTCAGATCATAACCTAATTGAACCATAAATCTAATTAAGTACGTCTCATTTTCCTAGTTCTATGAATCAAAGTTTAATTTACAACTTATTTCAGCATTATCAATGAACACACAAAACATAAGAAGGTTTTTTTCTTGTACATATAATGCTTTCCCGTGCGTATCTTTTCCGTGAGAATGTTGTTGTTTCCCGATGATGAGAAGTATTTAAATACGATATTACTTATATCGATATTATTAATCGATACTTATGAAATTTTGTTTACCAAATTATATTTTACTTTACGTTTATTATTGAAATGATTGTAGCCACAGTCTTTACCTACCAGATAAAGTAATACCCGATAAAGGAATACCCGTCTATATAAAATAATATATACATATATGCAAGTTAAAACATACTTTAAAAATATTAAATTCGTAAAGACAGTTTTTATTACTAAAACAGAAAGAAATCGGTAGTAAAAAGTTATAATAAGAAACTTAAAAGAACATTTTTTCATCACCTATTATACATATAATAAAATTCTAATTGAGTCGAATGTGTACATTAAGTATTTTTTGGAATATCTTATTGAAATAGTCATTATTATCGATACAGAGGCCGAATCTATAGATTTTAGAATTTTCGTTTGTCTGTCTGGGAACGCATCACGAGAAAACCACCGGACTTATTTTGATGAAGTTTGGTATGATGATAGCTGGTTATTCGGGTCAACATATAGGATAGGTACTTTTTACTAAGGGAAGGTATCTCATCTCTGAGAAATCTATACTAACCGTTATATACAATCCGTTAAACCATTTATAAATGAATACTCTTACAAATGATTAAAATATTCATAAAAACATGATTTCAATATAAATAAAAACTTAATGCGAATTCGGAAAATAATTTGGTATTAAAGTGATTTTTATGGGCGGATTCTTTCCGTATTACGTTTTTGTACGTTTACGATGTAAGTAAACTGACATCTGTTGTAAAATAAATAATCCTTACGGTTATTGATTTTAATATTTCAATTATAAATTAATATTTTATATTGTTATTATTTTAAATAGGCGAAGCGTGTTAACCGTTTTAACATGAAGAAGAATTTAAATATCTGCTTGCATATTATTTATGCTATAGTGATATATTATTATTATTATTAAAATAATATTTTTATTAGAAATGTTAAATTAAAAAAACATCGATACTGAGCTAAGGTAAGCTTATCTTTAAAAATGAGTACATAATTAAATTAATAATTTGCTACATCACCAGTTGGATCATTGTAATTTTTAGTAGTTGTAATTGAAAAATTACCGTGTACCTACCGTGTAAGTAAAGTTAAGTACCGTGCTATGACTTTAATTTAGACAGTTTAAAAATTTAAATTAAATCTCACGACATAAAACCACATTAAAGTTTATCAGCAAATATTATTAAATATTCAATACAGTTTTTACGTTAAACTATAAATTCATGTGACTACCAGAGTAGATATAAAATAAGTAAACTATTCAGTGTCATATAATATAATATGCAAATATTCCATATTTATTAAAATAGTAAACACTTGTCATAGTGTACCGTGTCCAGAAAACTAAATCTGTCTAATCACATCACAGATATGACATAATGTTTGTCTATAATACTAAGTGCTGTATTATTTTTGGTAAATATTATAAAATTGGTAAAATTATAAATTGTATAACCTTTTTTCTTAAATATTTTTAAAATATATTTCTTACAAAATTCCTAAAAATGCAGTATATAACAATTAAAGAGTTAATATATGGAATTTATTGTTTATTTACTTACTTTTTTAATTCTGCATATGGGAGGATACGGTGCGATGCGCAAAAGATCACACAAGACTGTCGATTCTTTCGACAACGTAATTTATTAATACGTTGCCATAGAGTAGACAAATAAGTCAACCAGATGTTATTTTATTCAATATTTTTCTGTCGTTTATACATTTAGAATATAATGTACTTATGGGTTTCAAAGGTCGGTCGTATACGTAAAAAATATGTTTGAATGTAAAAATATAATAATAGTTTTTTTTAATATATATATTTCAATAGTCTCTTAGAGACAGAGTTCAATATAAACGAAATAAATTTGTCACATCTGTTAATTATTTTCGTGCCTATTAAGATTCTGTAATCTATTCAGAGTTATCGTTGTACTTATATTATACTAGCGACTCACCCTCACTTCGCTCGGGTTCGTCCCTGGGTACGGTTTTAACGACCAGTTTGGAATAGATTGACTATATCCATACTAATATTATAAATGTAAAAGTGTGTTTGTCTGTTTGTTTATTTGGTTGTCCTTCTTTTACGTCGAAACGGAGTGACGATTAAAAATGGAAACGGAACGCGATTAAAAGTAGCCTATTTCACTCTCCAGCCCTTCAATTTCTCTACACAAAAAAATTACGCGAATCCGTTACTCTGTTTTGACGTACAAGAAGGACAATCAAACATACTTTCACATCTATACATATAATAAAACTGTAGAGGTCAAATTTCTGTACGTAGAAAAAAATGCTAATAACCGAGTCAGGGGGATGTAAGAATAGATATAGAACAAATCAACAAAAACAATGTAGAATAAATATAGAAAAAATACGGGCTAATTTCTGAAACTATTAAACCAATTTAAATGAAACTTTGCATGGTAGTAACTTATATCCACGGTCAACATTTTACATAATTTTCATCTCTAAAAAATTAAACAGTTCCAGTGGGATAGTTAAAAAACTATAGTAATTTATACAGCTTAGTACACAGAAACTACTGATTGGATTTTAATCAATCTTTACAATAATATAGTTCATACATCAGCATCACAAATAGGCTACTTTTTATCCAGGAAAAATGTTCAGTTCCTGTGGGATAGATATGTTATTGTTTGTCTAGAACACCGCGAACCGGAGCGAAGCGATGGTGAGGCGCTAGTTTATAATATTAGTACGGATATGGATTTATTACTAACAGTGAAATATTGTATGTATACATACATTGAACTCGACATTTAACTATTACTAATAATGAGATATTTAACACATTTTTAACCTTTAAGGAAATGTTGTGAGATGTTTCCTTAATTTATTTTTCTTGGTTCAAAAGATTAAAAGGTTAATGTTTAGATATTATTAAATTATTACTCGTTTTATTTTAGAAATAAACAATTTGAAACAATCTGGATTTTTGTTTTATATATTTTGTTCAGTTTTGAGATTTATATCCCTTACTCGAGAAATAATTGATTCCGCATACACACTTCCACCCCCCCCCTTTCCCCTCCTTTGGGGATGATTTGAGGGGATCCAAACTATCCCCAATACAAGAAAAAAAATACCATCTTTCTGGGATAATTTTGTAATTAGAGCAACAATAATGGACCGAAGAAACCCGCAGCTAACGATAAAACTTTATAAATGAAATGAAAAATCCATACTAATATTATAAAATATAATATTATAAAATATAATAGACAAAGTAACTATGTGTGTCTGTTACCTTTTCACGCTTAATCCGCTGAACCGATTTAGATAAAATTTGGCCAGGATATAAATTGCATCCTAATGACGGACATGAGGACTTCATGTCCGACCTCATGGTGAGGTACCTTTCATCCCCGCTCCCCATACCACGCAAGCGAACCCGCCGGCAAAAACCAGTTGTTATATAAATATACATCCCTAATTGGTGTTATATTTTTTAAGTGAATTTGAAGATCGCAACTTTAAAGTTGTGTAACAATTATTTTAAAGATTCGGGAAAATTCTTTGCATTTAACGTTAAACGTTTAAAATTTTAATTTTTAACCAATTTCAAATAGGAGTTAAACATAATTAGGAAGTATATTACGTTATATTTATTTTTAGTTTCCGGCAATCCAGTTGGGCGAGAAACCAAGAAATGCACTGCGAGGAAGCCTATCTCAGTGGACAGTGTGCCATGCGGGTTGCTCCTGGTGCATCTTCTCTGATAGTAAACTGGATCGTTGGAGCAATCTCATGGCTGTTGTGGTCTGCGTCGTCAGACCTGCTGTCGGTGTGTCATGTTTGTGTGTATAAGTGATCCTGCGATGCTCCATTAACTCAGAGGAGGTTTGTTCGGGTTTTGGTGGTGTTTTTAGCCGGTGAGTCCCACAGAATCACCTGTTTATATACAGGTGGTATACGTAAATGCATTTCGCAACATGGAGTTTATATTATTATAGTAAATAAGTATATTTTATATGTATTTTTAATATTTTATTTGCAATGTACTAATCACAAATCTAAAAAATACATTTAATTCTACGTATATCTAGTAGCCTAGATTTTCTTAGAATGAGTTGTCACGTCATAATTTAATATAATTTTGAGATCAATGTAGTACATTTTTTTACTATAGTTTATTACTGTTTATTGTTACATAGTTATTTACATGTAACTGTAAACTACCTAATATAAGGCTACGCTTTTATATTTTATGGACGATTTAACCTCGCTCCGCTAGGACGCGTCCGTAGGTGCCTTATGGTAGGGTATGTGTTACTCCATGTCATAGTCTATCTATATATTAAATTTCATCCAAATCCATCCAGCCGTCCATTCGGTTCAGCATAAAGAATTAAATATCATAAATACTCTCTCATATACACACGCACACACACACACACACACGCACACACACACGCACGCACGCACGCACGCACGCACGCACGCGCGCACGCACGCAGACACACACATTTGCATTAATAATAGTAATTTGATTACAAAAATTATGTCATCATTTAAAAAATCTTCGTTTAACCGTATTCAAAACGAAGGTAATGCGTCTTTTCATACAGGTCTAATTTTTATAGCCACAGCTGTGTTTATTATAATTAAATTCTAACCAATCATTAAAGGTCAACACCAAGTGTCAAGTATTTACCTTACAATTACCACAACGATCAAGGCAAAATGCTATGAATTGAAGAGACCAAAAGTGTTTATTTTTATAAACGCATTAGATATTTGTTTACCATTGAGAAGGTTGCATAAAATTGTGATAAATAGACTGGAATCTGTAATGATTTATGAATACATGAGTCTTTCTAACATCGATTGTGCAAAAAACTGGTTAATACACAGTCTAGGAAGTAGTCTAGCGTTAACAGGTATTAAAATATTATTATAATATACACTAATATACGCTTACACTTATACCATAATAAAATAAAGCTCAAGAGGTTATTTGTTATTTTGCTAGTTGGTACGCGCATATCTTAAAACTCAGTGTTACAACATTTTGGATTTTGTCTTTAAAATTAATAAATTAATGTCTTTTTTTTTAAATTATGAAATGATTTATAATTATACAAAGTTACAATATTTTCCTTGCAATACATCGATGTTTTTCTTCGTATTCATTCCATAATAGATAGTGTATGAAGTGTGAGTGTACAGATATCTGTAAAGTAGTATAAAGATATCTGTAAGTCAGACAGATATTTTTTGTTCGTTTCATGTCTCTCTGGAACTACATGAGGATAGAGAGAGATTTGAAAAATTCTTTTGCATTTTATTAATAAGCTATTGCTTATTTACTAAGGAAGGTATCCATCGTACACTACAACTCTTAGTAGATCATTTTTTTATAAGCCACGCTGTTAGTGCAGATATCTTACAAAGTAAGTGGTATAGAGATAGAAGCCAATTGCTATTCCATAGGCATATTTACATATTTTTTATCTCGGAAAAATATACGGTTTCCGTGGGGTAGATTTGTTTTTGTTTTTCACTGAGGACGATCCCGAGCGAAGCGATGTTATTACAAAAAATTGGTGGCAGTAAATAACAAACTGCTGATTTTGCTATGTTAGTTCTACTAGGTCAGCTTCATATAGACAATAGTAATAGATATAAAATTTGTGTATATCATATCAAAGTAGTTAAAGGAACTAAGTCCTTCGCCTGATATAAATAACAGTTAATGAATTATTTCATTACTTGCGCATATAGATTTATGATGTAGGCATATAAAACGACATTTAAATATTTCCTAGTACATAATATTATCATCATATACATTAATTACAAGTGCGACTTATGATGTTCATCGAAATGAATCAAGCGAATGATCTTTACATCGTTATATACTTGTTTATTTTATACAAAAAACTGTGTTGGTAATTTTTGCTTAAAGTGTTTTATATATAATTTTGCTTTATTTGTATTTGATTAAATACTGATCAAGTATTTTATTATGAAACCAATGAATTTTATACCATAGTAAAATAAAGTGCAAATTTATTTTTCGCGTAAGAGGTTTAGTTTAACTGTTAGAGAATGACATAATTTGTGCAAGAAACATGCAGTTCAGGAACTGTAGACCGTCACGAGCATTCTCAGTGTCATCACGAATACATTTAAATAAGTAAACAGAGATAATAATTTTATTCAGTATTTAGTAATCGATGTAATCGTTATTGAATTTTAATTTTTTCATTTTCAAATAAGCAATGTTAATAGCAAGCTATCGTATCGTATCGGAGTAAAATCGTTTATTTCTTTATTTAATAGGTGGTGCCTCGGTGGTGTAGTGGCTAGCATGTACGGTTGCACACCCGGAGGTCCTGGGTTCGAGTCCCTGGTCGGGCCAAGATTAGTTATTGAGTCTTTCTGTATAGTAAGCCTCAGTAACAGCCCGGAGTTGGGAAGTTGGCGGTGTTTCACCCCCGTGCCTTGGAGAGCACGTAAAGCCGTCGGTCCTGCGCCTTAACTCTCACTGGTCGTGTCGAGTGGTCGTCTCACCGGAGTATGAGAGTGACAGGAATAGAAAGTGCACTTGTGTCTGCGCGTACACTTGTGCACTATAATATCTCCCGCGCAGTTGGCTAGTCTCAATGAGATTGGCCGCCGTGACCGGATTCGGTCAGGAGAACATCATCAGAACGTCATCAGGTAGAGAATAATTTTAAGGGCCAGTAAGCAGTAGAAAGTAGTTATAAAGCCATCATGGAGCTTTTATAATTATAGTAAGTCTGTCTGCCTGTCTGTGCATCTGTCCGTTTGTCTGTGTATAACGCCCGTTTTACTTGGATACTATACAGCGTAGAATGTAGATGTCTAATAAGCCTTGCGGTTGTCAACAATGGTAAATTCAAATTATAAAAATTAAATAATACATGTAACTAAGGGTTAAAAAAAAACATATGGAATATTGATGAACTATAATATTCAGGTCAGGCATACATAGATCTTTCGAAATAAGACGAGTGTCTCAATTTTTTTTATTAAAATAGCTCAATAGGTTTTGAGTTACACGTTTCTTTAATCGTTAATTGAATGCCTCACTTTTATTTTTAAATATGAAGCGTACATTTCTAAATGTACATTAAAAAGTTCTCTTGAATTTTTTTTAACGAAAGTTTTGTCGAAGAAGATAAGTAATTTATAATTATACAAAGCTACAATATTTTCTTTGCTGTACATCGACATTTTTCTTCGTATTCATCCCATAATAGAAAGTGTATGAAGTGTGAGTGTACAGATATCTGTAAAGTAGTATAAAGATATCTGTAAATCAGACAGATATTTTTTGTTCGTTTCATGTCTCTCTGGAACTACATGAGGATAGAGAGAGATTTGAAAAGTTCTTTATACAAGAAGATACTTTATACTTAGATCACTTTGCAGGATGGCCGATGTTACGCGCCGCTAGTCAAGTACGCCTTCATACAACCTCTGTGGTGTTCGTCTATCTAGGTGCCAGGCAGGCAGGAAAAGTATGACGACGAAGACATATTGATTGATGTTTGGGCGGGACGTATGATTTTCTGTTGTGTATATAAATTTTATTGATTACTGTAAATATAAAGATTACGAGTTTATCAAGAAAAGCGTTTCATTGTTTTACTATTAGAGTAGTAGGGTGATGTAACCTTAAGGCTAAAACAGGACCCTTATAATATTCGTCATGTCCCTCTGGCCGTATGTCACAGACATTTTACTCGAAGATTATGTATTGATGCTTCGTTAGAAATTTGGTAAGCAG